CAGACAGAGACAAAGAGACAGAAAGCAAGAAATCACCCCCCAGGGGGCATGGCCATGCCACAATCCCTTCTCCTCCATTCTCCTCTCGGGATCTTGGGCACCTACGCACATGCACCCGACGTGAGTTTTAAGCCATCGGGTCTAGGATGCGAACCGCGGTCGACTACATGGGAGTCCAGCGACATAGCCATTACGCTAACTGCTGATCCCCCAAATTTCTCTCCTTTTAAAAGGATACCCCACTCATTTTATTAGGCCCACCCTAATCCAGTATGACATCATAACTAGTTGGATGGGTCTACAAAGACCTTATTTCCAAATAAAGTCACATTCATAGATACCCAAGATTAGGATTTGGATGCATATTTTGGGAGGCACAGTTCAACACAACAAATTTAAACAAATCCTATGGGCCACCAACTCAGAGGACTGACATTTCCATCAGGACATTCTTTTAGTGGGTATAGAAATATTAGGGGGCTGGAGAGCAGGTAGCATGTCCACCCCCCAAAGAAAATCAGCGCCAGTCAGTTCTACTGACTCTACTTATCTTTCATCTCAGATTGAGCAGAACCGCAAGCGGGAGGCTGAGCTGCTGAAGCTGCGTCGAGAACTGGAGGAGGCGGCCCTGCAGAGTGAGGCAACAGCCTCCACACTGCGTAAAAAGCACACAGACTCCATGGCTGAGCTGACTGAGCACGTGGAGAACCTGCAGAGGGTCAAGTCCAAGCTGGAAAAGGACAAGCAAGTCATGAAAGCTGAGATCGATGACCTCAACGCCAGCGTGGAGACAGCGCAGAAGTCTAAGGTGACTGGGGCTCCTCTCCCAGATCCATAGGGAGGCTCCCAGAACCCAACTCTCTCATAAATTTTCCTTTATGAGAAAGGCATATTCCAGATGTTGGAAAGGAAACTGAAATGAATCCAGCACAGATCCCACTCCTAGGTGTATTATCTTGGCCAAGTTACATAACCTGACTATGCTTTGGTTTCCTCATCTGTAAAATGGGAATGATAATAATACTCCCCACCTCATAGCACTAATATAAGGGTTACAACCATCCTTGGCATGTAAGAAATGCTCAATAAATGTGCTTTTGAAATTACTATTATTACATTAGTATAACTATGTCCTCAAGGAGTTAGAGAATAACAAATGTATACAATGCCACAATCCAAAGACAAAGTGACCCATAACAAGAAAGAAAATTAAGGGAGCCATTCATTTATTGAACATCTACTACGTGAAGTGCTCTCTTGTGACACCAGGGAATGGGAGGTTCCAAGGTAAGCCAAGATGTTACCTTGTAGGTCCCTGTCCCAGTCATGGCTGTCCCAGCCCAGCCACAGCTGTCTCCAAACTTCAGACTCTTATGAGGCATCTTCATAGTTCCCATTTATCTCCAGACCTCTGTGCTAATGTCGATAGCTTTCCTAACCCAGTCTACCGCATTTTCTTATCTGGTGTGGTCTGCAGGAGTCCAAAGGGTCTGCAAAAGAGAGATAGGGGCTATATGCCAGCCTAAATGTTCTGTGTTTATGTTAATAGAAAATAAGCCGTATGAGGTTTTCAAGACAAGGACATTCTAGAACTAGGCAGGTAGTCTGGGAGGCTGCACAGGGGTGAACCAGCATGAGACAAGGCAAAAGTCCAAGGGAAAGTGGGGAGGGGCTGGCCTGGCCCTCTCCTTCCTTCCCCACCAAGTTTATTCTCTCTGAGCAGATGAACGCGGAGGCCCACATCAGAAAGCTGGAAGACAGCTTATCAGAAGCTAATGCTAAAGTGGCAGAGCTGGAGCGAAACCAGGCAGAAATCAATGCCATAAGGACCCGCCTCCAAGGTGAGCTGCTTCTCCTTGCAGCTGTCTGAAAAGCAGCACATGAAAAGGAATATGAATCCTCAAGCAAATGGAGGGAAGTATACCTGGTCTTCTACCCAGAGATTTCATGGTCTTGGAAAATTTACACCCAATTCCCTTGTGGTGAGACAAGGTGATTTTATTCTGCCTACTGAGCATTACAAGTAATGTCTTCACAGTGTAAAACAGGGAACATTATTGAAAGCATTTTCGAATCAGTTCTCTCACCTGCCCTGTGAGATCACAGGAGAGATATTAATACTGACAAAAATTTTAAACATTCTAAAACCTGGTCCACAAAATAACATAAAGTGAACATGTATCAAAGATTTATTTAGCTCATTAATGAAAAATGGTAATGCTGCTTTTAAGGAGCATTTGAGAGGCAGAGATTTACAAAGTTAGCTAGGAAAGAACTGTTAGAGTAACTTCATTAAGTTATGCAAAACTGATTAATGTACTATAGAACATTAATTACAAACTATACCTCTGTAACCCCTGAAATTAGTTTAGTTTAGCCCCCTCACAGAAGAAATCCTTTGCATCTCTATGATAAAAATAACTTGCAACTTATCAATATATAAGTTAACATCTAACTTTGCAGAAGCTGGACTCTAATCAAGGATAAACAATAAGTCAAATAACATGCATTGATTTGGAGAACCAAATACTCCTTTGCCGAGGCTTTTAGTTCTCCAGCATAACTGAGAAAACTTGCAGGCATCCTTTGGCCTTATTTCCCACATTCTGAATACTTTTTAAAGTCAAGATCCCCATCTGATGGATAAGAAAACTGGAGCTCGGAACTAGCAAATGGTATAATGATTACATCACTGGACTCCCACATGGTCGATTGCAGTTTGAGTCCTGAACCTGGCAGCTTGAAATTCACTATGGGCACATATGCATGCATGCCAAAAATCCCGAGAGGAGAATGGAGGAGAAGGGATTGCAGCACAGCAAGGCCACCCTCTGCCCCGGCGGGCGATTTCTCGCTTTCTGTCTCTCTGTCTCTCCAGCGAGCACATGCACCCTATAGCAAAAATCTCTCTTAAAAAAAATAAAAAAGAAAGAAAGAAAAAGAAAAGTGGAGCTCAATGAGGTGAAGTGACTTATAGAGTAAAACTGGAAACCCATGCTCTTCGTCTATAGCTTGTGAACCTCTTTCTGGCCTCTGGCTCCAGCAACCACTGTACAAATGACAGGAGTATAGTTTCTAGGATAGTGACAAATACATTTTACAAAATAAACATTCTCTGCTCCATTGTTTTCTCCAAACTCTTGTGTTGTATCAACTGACAGCTAGGAGCTGGGGGCTTCATTATCTGAGGCCCTTAACTCCATATAAGTTATGTGAATAGTGGCAACACCAGACACTTGCTCCTGTCCTGGGCTCACTTTCACTTAATTTGGGCAGCAGCTGTGATGGTTCACTGTGCTCCCACTCATATCCAGTAGGCCCAGCCTCCATATTTATTGAGTACTTTAGGAGCAATGGCCTGGGGAAACCTAGGCGTTGCTGGGGAAACCAGTTCTTCACCAATCAATTCTTCCATTCCTTTCTCACCCAGCTGAAAATAGTGAACTGAGCCGAGAATATGAAGAATCCCAGAGTAGGCTCAATCAAATCCTACGAATAAAGACATCTCTGACATCACAAGTAGATGACTACAAGAGGCAGCTGGATGAAGAGTCAAAGGTTTGTTTGGGGATTGGAATTGTGGTGACAGAGCTGCCTCCTTAAAGGTGTAGGTTATGAAGATAAAGAAAAAAATGTGAAAAATATGTGTTACAATAGCAAGAATAAAGTTTACCGCAAAGCTATAATATGAGATGTATACAATTATCTTACATTACATATTCTCATCATCAATAATTAGATAAAAAGAACAAAAATAAAACCCTGATGGTTTGTATTGTAGAATCACATGTCTTTCCCCCCTATACCTGTGGTCACTGTTGATCCAATACTCTATATATCGAAACTATGGTCTCAGGGCCATAGAAAGACCCTAGAGATCCCTAACAGGCTCATCTCCACAGTCTCGCAGTGCAGCTGTGGTGAGTCTTGCCAACACCAAGCATGACCTAGACCTGCTGAAGGAGCAGCTGGAGGAAGAGCAGGGAGGCAAGTCAGAGCTGCAGCGCCTTGTGTCCAAACTCAACACCGAGGTGACCACCTGGAGGACCAAGTATGAGACTGATGCCATCCAGAGGACTGAGGAGCTGGAGGAGACCAAGTGAGCAACATCCTGGTGCTGGGAGAACCAGGCAGGCTGGGCACCAGGCATCCCACTATTATATCAGTCACTGCTGAAGCCAGGGACATGCCCAGGAGAAGGCAGATCACAGGCTCTTTTAAAAGGAGAACAGGGTGCCAGCAGATGGCATAGCAGATACGTAAATGGACTCCCACGTGGCAGATCACAGTTCAAATCCCGGACCTGGTAACTCGAAACTCACACTGGGCACATGTGAGTGTGTCCAGGATCCCAGGAGAAGAATGGAGGAGAAGGGATTGTGGCTTGGCTTCGGGTGATTTCTCACTTTCTCTCTCACTGATTGTCTCTCTCTCCAGTGAGCACATGTGCCCTAATGCAAAAACTTCCAAAAAAAAAAAAAAAGAGAGAGGAAACAGAATGTCTGGACAAAGGAGCTCACCTCAGCAGCTCTCACAGTCCCACCTATGAAGACTGTCTACCTATGTGCTCAGGTTACCTGCAGGGAAAGCAGGAGCTGGGACTCCACTTGTAGGCAGAGCTTTTTTGACTCCAAATTGCTCCAGAAACATCTGTAGGCCTTTCTGAAATGCAGGTTCCCATTCAGTGGGCCTGGGGCAATGTTGGGAGGACATGACCCACGCTCAGTGGCACGGGTCTCCATTCTGCCAGATCACTGTCTCTGCAGCAAATATCCTCAACTCCTTTGAGCTTTCTTTCTCATTCACAATCCAGATAAGTAGACACCCTATGTGAGGAACATGAGAAAATGGGTTTGTGATAATGTAGCTCTGAGTCAATCTCTTGAATGAGAAGAGGCTCACTAGGTGCCTGTAGGCCCCTGTACCCAGGGAAGCCTTATGTGTAAGCCACCCTGGGCCAGGAAGGGGAGATGACTCCTCAGCATGCTTGCAAACCTCTCCTATCCATTGGAATTTCTAGTAATATAATAGCAATCAGACCTGATTCCTTCTAGCTGATGCTACAATATTCTTGTTGTTGTTGTTGTTTTGTTTTAAGTAATTCTTGAATTGCTTAATTTTATGTATTTATTCATTTATTTTTAATTTAACCAGAGAGAGAGAGAGAGAAGGAAAGTGACAAAGTAAGCCACAGGTCTGGGACTCCAACTGTGGTTGGCCATGTGGAAGTGTCCAGTGCCTTAACCACCATACCACCTGCTGGCCCCCGATGCAACATTTTCATCTAACATTCTTACATTGAACCTAAATCTGCCTTCCTATAACTTCTACTTGCAGCCCTCTACCCATTCGCATTGAGAGCTACTGGGAGCTGCCAGGTCCCATCCCAAGGCTCCCACACCTGTGATAATCCTAATTTCAATTCCTGTCTCTGCATGGAATCTCCTTCACCAAACATCCAAAGAGTTCTCCACCTCCCCTCACTCAGGCCTTTGCTCTTGTGCCACCTTCTCAGAGAGCTTCCCGTGAGCCCTCATTTTAAACTGAAGCCATCCACTCCCATCCTAGACTCTGTCCCCTTCCCTGCTTTCTTTTTCTGCATAGCACTTCTGTTCTGTTATGTATTTTCTACTTCTCTCCTGCTCCTGAAAAAAAAATAATAATAAAGTTTCAGGAGGGCAGGGATTTTAGTTGCTTGGGTCACTGTTATATCCTTAATGCCTAGGATAGGCACAGAGGAGAAACAATAACTATTTGTTGAATGAATGAATGGACAGCACCTGCTCTCCTCTAGTGTCCTTTTTGTCTGCATCTTTTCCAATATTAATACCAAAGTTCAGTGCCATTTATCTCCCCCTAACCCTATCCCAGGCCCCAGCAATACATGAACTGTGCCTGTGGGCTCCTATGGGTTCTTGTGTTTCCTTGATGGTCCCTCTCCCTCTTCTACAGGAGGAAGCTGGCCGCCAGGCTCCAGGAAGCAGAAGAGGCAGCTGAAGCTGCCCAAGCCCGGGCAGCTTCTCTTGAGAAAAATAAACAGAGACTCCAAGCAGAAGTGGAGGATCTCACCATTGACTTGGAGAAGGTCAGAGGCACAGAGCCCACAGCAGGGCTGAGATAAGACTATAGCACACCTGGGGTTATCAGGAAGAAACTTGTGGCTCAAGAGAGTGGGACATAGGATTTATCCTCAGAAGCTCACTGGACATAGGCTCCTACTTGAACAAGTATTTATAGATTTTTCTGAGATCTTACCACTCAACAAGCCACTATTTAAATAGTTCGATGAGAAGCATAAAATTTGCTTCCAGGAAGTTAGGCAACACATCTTCCTTATACCCCTTTCTCTTAAGCAAACTGTTTTCCACATACTTGTGTGGTCAAATAGTTCTTAGAAACAAACCCAGAGAGAAAGCAGGATATTACAGCAGAGTTTACTGAGAAACTGCATTGACAAAGATTTTGTTTCTGCTGCTTAGTAGAATGAGGGCCCAAAGACAGTTCTTTAGAAAAAGTGACATTTCTTATGCAACTGAATTTGTGGTTAGAAATGTATGCCTATTCAAAAAATGTGGCTGCATCCATTGGCCACACAGATAGGAGGTCATAACCATATGAGAGGCTTGAGACAAAATAGTCCCCAAATCCAAAAAGGTTCTGCTCTCCCAGATTAAGTTAAGCAAGACTTTTTAAAATCTAAATTGTGCAAGAGCAAAAACAATTGCTGAGGAGTTATAAAAAAGATGAAAGGTCTATGGAAAAATAAAGTTCTAAGAATAATCAGATCTGAGTTGGACAGTAATTCATAGTACTACATTAAAGAGAAATACATTATGGGAGTTAGCTTGAATGTCATAAATCTGGAAAAGTCATTGCAGCCCAAACTCCTCATTTTACACCCAAAAACCTTCTAGCCTGGGAAAGTAAGGTTGATTGCCTAACGGTCGGTCACACACCTGTCAGAAAAAGTTTTAGATTTTGAATGCAGCTCTTCGCAGACTCACTGCCCTGTTCTTATGCCATAATTTGAATTATATCCCCCAAATTCCCAAGATTTCTGTGGTCATCAGAGCTAGGAGAGAAAGGAAAGGAAGAGGATATTCAGGGGCGGAAGGAGGGGAGCGGGGCAGGAAAGTAGGACCTCAGGAAACCATCTTCATCTCATCCCAGGCCAATGCTGCAGCTGCTGCCCTGGACAAGAAGCAACGAGTCTTTGACAAGATGCTGGCCGAGTGGCAGCAAAAGTGTGAGGAGCTGCAGGTAGAGGTGGACAGCGCACAGAAGGAGTGCCGCATGTACATGACAGAGAGCTTCAAGATCAAGACTGCCTACGAGGAGTCCCTGGAGCACCTTGAGTCAGTGAAGAAGGAAAATAAGACCCTGCAGGGTGAGTCTAGGGCAGGCAGACAGGGTGGGCCTGCAAGGATGGGGACATAGTTAGTGCCCCCCTCTTCCTATACATGTCACTGACAGTAGTTGCTTGATAAATGTTTTCTGACTATCTACCCAGAACTTTGTAGAGGCACTGGGTACTCAGCAATGTAATTTCAGGTGAGTTACTTATGTTTTCTGTTCCTCAGTTTCCTCATCTGTAAAAATGACAAAGTAGAGAACCAGCAGTTAGTGTAATGGCTATGTCGCTGGACTCCCATGTAGTCGACCACGGTTCGCGTCCCAGACCCGGTGGCTTAAAACTCATGCCAGGCGCGTGTGCGTGCGTGCCCAGGATCCCAAGAGGAGAATGGAGGAGAAGGGATTGCGGTGTGACCATCCCCCCTGGGGGGTGATTTCTCGCTTTCTGTCTCTATGTCTCTCTCTGTCTGTCTGGCGAGCGCGCACGCCCTATAGCGAAAAACCTCTCCAAAAAAAAAAAAAAGAAACCAAAAAAATGACAAAGTAATACCACTTTCTTTGTGAGGTGGTTGTGACAATAAAATAAAACAAAAATGTATAAAATCTTCACTCAGAGTAGCTGGCACAAATAAGAGCTCGGGACCAGCAGATGGCATAATGGTTACATTGCTAGACTCCCATGTAGTCAACCGTAGTTCGAGTCCAGTACTTGATGGCTTAAAACTCACGCCGAGTGAGTGTGCGTGCATGCCCAAGATACCAAGAGGAGAATGGAGAAGGGATTGCAGAATGGCCATCCCCTCTAGGGGGTGATTTCTCACTTTTCGTCTTTCTGTCTCTCCAGTGAGGACACATATCCTACAGTAAAAATCTCTCTAAAAACAAAAACAAATAAGGGCTCAATAGATTTTATGTACATAGATTATATGTAAATCATATACATATGTATTTCTTAAGTATAAGACTCTTGGATTGGATTTTTTTCTGTTGCATATTGCTTGAAAAATGTTGACTATCTGTTGAAGATCATTTTGCCATATAGAGATTAAACTACATTACTTATTTTTGTGGTAGGAATGCATTTCTAACAACAAACTCAACTGCATAAGAGATGCCAATTTGGGGGCCAGTGGGTGACATAGTGGTTAAGACACTGGACTCAAACTAAGAGTTTGAGTCCAATGCCAAACTCTTAGTTTGAGTCCAATGCCAACTGCAGTTTGAGTCCCAGATCCAGTGGCTTCAAATTCACACCAGGTATGTGTGCATGTGTGCCCAAAATCCCAGGAAGAGAAGGGATTGCAGCATGGCCATCACCCTGGGGGGCGGGTGACTGCTTGCTTTCTCTCTCTCTCTCTCTCTCTCTCTCTCTCTCTCTCTCTCTGTCTCTCCAGCAAGTGCACACACCCTATAGCAAAAATCTCTCTCAAAAGAAAAGTGAGAGAGAGAGCAAGAAAGAGAAAGAGATGTCACTTTAAAAAAAATTCTCATGAAGAACTGTTCTGTTCTGAACCTCCATTCTGCTGAGTAGCAAAAATCAAACCTCAATCAATACAAGGTTTCTCAAGTCTTTTCTGTTACCCCACCCAGCAGTCTCCCTGGAGTTGAATCTAAGTTCCAGTATGGTAGATGTAGGGTCTCTGCAATGAAGGGTAGAGAGAGATGGTCCCAACAGTCTCAAACCTGCCTGGAGTCCCGTGAGTTCTCCTAAGAACTATTGTCTGCATAGCAGAGATGATCTTGAAAGCCAAGTGTTTGAAATGTGAGGCTCCACTTTTTTTTTTTTTAAAGATATCTGACTTTTTTAATTGCCGGGGGGTATATATACTCACTATAGACAGGAAAAAAAGGACCCCGCACACCCCAATAGGGCAAGGTCACATGCAATCCATTTTACTCCATTTTTCTTTCCCATCAGTATTTTGTACATGCACACATATGTGTCCAGTGTGTTTTTAAAGCCATTGGGGGACAGAAACTCAAACCATAGTCAGCCAGATGGGATCTGGTTCCCAATGCACAGTGCTTAACCACTGTGCTATGGAGCTAGCTGGAACTCTACTTTCTTAGTTTTAAAAGTGAAGAATTTGAATATGAAGTAACTATGTGAATTAAAGATTGGGGAGGAGGGATAAAAAAATGGAAGTAGGGAAACTGCAATGAGACCACATCCCATTGGGAGTGCTTTCTCTTTCTCTAGCAAGCACATACGCCCTCTGGCAATCAATCAATCAGTAAAAGATTTGAGAGAAACAGCTAAACCAGATAAAAGTTGCCTGAACTATGAGAGGTAGGAAAATAGGGGTGATTATGAGGCCTTGGTGAGAGTCCCTGCTAACAGGCCCAGGCACCCACCAATTCACAATGCAGATGAGAAAACTCCCAGGTAACTTGGGAGTTAAGAACAGAGGAATATGTACTTTACCTCGCAGGTGAAGCCCAGGTGGCAACAAACATAAAGCTGAAAGCCTGGCTGAAACTGGAGAATGGCTCAGCAGCCTGCCAGGGCTAAGAGGATATGAGGCAGCATCACAGCATTCCTCATGGTCCCAGAGCAGTATCATAGAGAATGTTACAGAAAAAGCCACTATTTCCAGGGATAGATGAGGGAGTTATGTGAACCATGGGCAAGTCATAATGCCAGCACAAGTGGACAGCAACAACTGAGACCTAGATGACATCCTCAATCCCCTTCAAAAGCCACCTGGAATTTAGAACTCTATACAGGAAGACCCTAGATTAAGTGAGGTTTCTTTGCATGGTGGAAACTTGATCTAGAAGTTGAGTTTGGTCATGGACAAACTAAAACAGTTGTATTTCTTATATATTTCTTGTCACATGCAGAGAATTCTATCTGCTCCAAGGTGCAATGGATTCTCAAGAGTTTGTCTGGATGGGCAACTGAGGGGTCTCCAACTGAAGAAAGAGATCAGAAGGCTCTAAACTTCCCCAGAAATGTTCTGGTGCAGTTGATTTTTATTTTGTGGGGAGGAATCTCTGAGAAAAGAAGGCCTAGTGTGTGGGACTTGCAGGCCTAGAGGGGATCTAGTCACTGGCCCCAAAGCTGCTCTGTGTTTCCTTGTTCATCTCTGGGCATTGGCTCCTCATCTGTGAAAAAAGGAACTTGAATTCAGTGTTCTCCAGTGTCCAAACCCTGATATTCCATGAGTCTATGACAAAGATAAGTGGCTTCTCTTATGATCCAAAAAGGCCAGGAGTGCCTGCCTCTTATCCTGATGGAGGAATGCCTATGTCACATACTGTGACCCTAAAATGCTGGTGGTCCTCATGTGCCTTTTTAATGTGATATTTCTTTTTCAGAGGAGATAAAGGAACTCATTGATCAGCTGGGTGAAGGAGGACGGAGTGTGCATGAGCTGCAGAAGTTGAAGAAAAAATTGGAGATTGAGAAGGAAGAACTCCAGGTGGCCCTGGAAGAAGCTGAGTCATCCCTAGAGGTAACCATGGCTGTCACCTTGGGAGCTGTATCCTTGTACAGGGACCACACACTTTCTTGGCCAAAAGGGATAATTGTTATATACCTGGTAGGTTGAAGAGAGCAAGGTGATCCGAATTCAGTTGGAACTGGCTCAGGTTAAAGCTGACATTGACCGGAGAATCCATGAGAAAGAAGAGGAATTTGAAGCTACAAGGTATGAAGTCGATTAGGATGGGAGGCTGATTTTAGGCAGGATAATGGAATAAAGTCCAGAAACCTGGATCTCTGCCACCTACTGGTCATGTGACCTTGGGCAATTTAGATTAACCTCTCTCAACCTCAGTTTATTGAGCATATCTGTTATATGGGAATAATGATAGTACCTACACTAATGTGGCACTCTCTGGCTTATGAACACTTTAGAATATATAGTATTTTACTTATGATGTCTAATGATACTGAGCATCTTTTTTTTGGGGGGGGAGAGATTTTTGCTATAGGGCATGTGTGCTTGCCAGAGAGACAGAGAGACAGAAAGCGAGAAATCACCCCCCCCCAGGGGGATGGCCATGGTGCAATCTCTTCTGCTCCATTCTCCTCTCGGGTTCTTGGGTATACACACACATGCGCCCAGTGTGAGTTTAAGCCACCAGGTCCAGGACTTGAACCATGATCGACTACGTGGGAGTCCAGCGACATAGCTATTATGCCAACTACTGGTACCAATCTTTGAAGAAATATCTTTTCTTTGCCCATTTTAAAAATTGAATTTATTTATCTTTCTATTGTTGAGTCTTAAGAGTTCTTTAGGAATTCTGGATCCTAGACCTTTATCATATATATAATTGCAAATATTTTCTCCCATTCTTTGGGTTGTCTTTTCATTCTCTTGAAGGTGTTCTTTGAAACACAAAAACTTTTTTTAAGACAGATTTTTTGCTGAAGGATATGTGCATAGGTCAGAGACACAGAGACAGATAGAGAGAGAAAGAGAGTGAGAAACTGACTCCCTCAGAGGGATGGCCATGACACACAATCCCTTCTCCTCCATTCTGTTCTTGGGATTTTTGGCATGCACACATATGCACCTAGTGTGAGTTTGAAGCAGATGAGTCCAGGATTGGAATGTGGTCAACCATGTAGAAGTCCACTATGTTAACCACTATGACACCTGCTAGCCCCAAAGCACAAAAGTTTTTATTATTTTTTTTGTTAAAGTTAATTTATCTAATTCTTTTCCCCTTTGGTTGTTTGTACTTTAGGGATCATATACCAAGATCCATTGGCTAATCCCTCCACAAAGATTTATGCCCATATTTCTTTCTAGGAGTTTTACAGTTTTAGCACTTACATTTAGATCTCTGATCCATTTTTGTTAATATCTTTACATGATGTATAAGATAGGGGTCCAACTTCATTCTTTTGTGTGTGAATTCCAATCATCTTAGTACCATTAAAAAAAAATAAACACTTTCCTGCTGGAGTGGTCTTTGTACCCTTGTTTAAAATAAACTGACTATAGGAGCCAATAAGTGGTGTGGTGGTTAAGGTGGTGGACTTCCACATGACTGACTAAGATTTGAGTCCCAGACCCGGAGGCTTGATCTCTTTCTCTTTCTCTCTCTCTCTCTCTCTTTCTCTTTCCAATGAGTGCTTACAGCAAATTAAAAAAAAAAAATAGTGATAAATAAAATTAAGTAAATAGTTCTTTAAAAAATAAAATGAACTGACTATAAATGTGAGGGTTAATTCTGAACTCTGTATTCTGAATTATATTTCATTGATCAACATATCTATCCTTATCCTAAGATCATGCTGTCTTAGTTACTACATCTTTGAAATAAGCTTTGAAGTTGGAAAATGTGAGTTTTATAACTTTGTTCTTCTTTTTAAAGATTGTTTTGGTTAGTTAGGGTTCCTGCCATTTCCATATTTTAGGATCAGTCTGTGAATTTCCACCAAGGAACATCTGGAATTTTGATAGTGACTTTGTTGAATCTGTAGATCATTTGGGAATTGTTTCTATCTGAACAATATTAAGTCTTCTGATCCATAAACATGCATATCTTTATATTTATTTTGATATTCTTTGGTTTTTTCAACAATGTTTTGTAGTTTTTGCCTACATTTTTTAAGCCAAAGAGAGTCACTATTTTATTTGTTTTTTAAGAATATCACGATACTCTCTCTCTTATCTTGAAATTGAATATATCTCGAGGTGCTGCAAAGCAGCAATGTGCCTGACTGTGATGGGCATTCAGGGGAAAGCTGAGATAGACATACTGTGGAGCTGGGGATTTCTGAAAAGGCAGGTGGTAGGATCTCTACATGCTAGCCATTTATTTGCTTTTTGTTTGTTTTAGAGGTTTTTGCCTTAGGGTGCATGAGCTTGCCAGAGAGAGAAAAGAGGCAGTGATGGGAAAATGAAAAATCACCCCCAAGGGGGATTGCCACACTATAATCGCTTCTCCATTCTCCAGGGATCTTGGGCACACATATACACTACAAGCCCAGCACAATTTTCAAGCCACTGGGTCTGAGATTTGAACCGTGGTCCACTGTGTGGGAGTTCAGCAACATAACCACCGCTATCTGCAGGTCCCAGCCATTTATTTGCTTTAATTAAACACCATATCATTATTCTTGAATACCTCAATTACTTCCTCTGGCCTCCTCCTATGAGATTATAGCTTATGTGAAGGTTTTATGGAAATATTTGGTGTATTAACTATAATTATTACATATTAAATGCACAGTTCATGACTACTGTTTCCAAGTATATGGAAACGCAAATAAACCTGATTTGTATGGCCATAGCTCACATTTTTGTAATGGAGAGAAACAGAAAGAACCCAGTCTACGGCATAGTGGTTAAAGCATCTGGATCCCACATGGCGGACAGCTTGGTTCAAGTTCTGAATCCCTTGGTTTAAGAAACACACTAGATTTGTGTACATGCATGCCCAAAATTTTTTTTGGGGGGGGCAGGTTTTTGCTATAGGACATGTGCATTCACCAGAAAGTGAGAAATCACCCCCCGGGGGATGACTACGTCACAATACCTTCTCCATTCTCCTCTCAGGATTTTGGGCATGCACACACACGCACCCGGCGTGAGTTTAAGCTTCCAGGTCCAGGACTCAAACTACAGTCAGCTACATGGGAGTCTAGCAACATAGCCATTACGCCAACTGCTGGTCCCTTCATGATCAAAATTCTGAAAGGAGAGAGAAATGGAGGATAAGGGATTGTGGCATGACTATTCCCCATGGGGGATATTTTCTCACTTTCCTTCTCTTTGCATGTCTTTCTGTCTCTCTCTGGCAATTATATGTGCCCTCTGGCAAAGAAAGAAAGAAAGAAAGAAAGAAAGAAAGAAAGAAAGAAAGAGAAAGAAAGAAAATGAGAGAGAAAGAAAGAGAAAGAAAGAAAGAAAATGAGAGAGAAAGAAAGAGAAAGAAAGAAAGAAAATGAGAGAGAAAGAAAGAGAAAGAAAGAAAGAAAATGAGAGAGAAAGAAAGAGAAAGAAAGAAAGAAAGAAAGAAAGAAAGAAAGAAAGAAAGAAAGAAAGAAAGAAAGAAAGAAAGGAAGGAAGAAAGAAGGAGGAAGGAGGAAGGAAGGAAGGAAATTTGAATTGTGACTCCATTGTAGGCTAAATGGGAGAACTTAGGCATATGGGGTTTTTTTGGGTTTTGGGGTTTATTTTTAAGAATTACTTTATTTAACTTTATTTATTTATTTGTTTGTTTCAATCTGACCAGAGAGGGAGCGGGGAGAGAGAGAGCATGCGCACAAGCGAGCTGCCAGGTCCGGGACACGAACCACGGTCGGCCATGTGGGAATCCAGCACCTTTAACCACCACACCACCTGCCAGCCCCAGTATACATTTTTTTTATAATTTTGGAGCCTCGGTTTCTTTACAGAGCTGTTTTACATGTTAAATTAATTGAAATCATACAAGATACTTGGTAAACGTGCAGTAAATATGACCTTCCCTCTCAAACCACCGCCCAAAAAATACTTTAAGAGTTTGTTTTGTTTTGTTTTGTTTTGGAGAGGTTTTTGCTATAGGGCGCGTGCGCTCACCAGAAAGACAGAGAGAGAGAGAGAGAGAGAGAGATAGAAAGCGAGAAATCACCCCCCGGGGGGATGGCCACGCCACAATCCCTTCTCCTCCATTCTCCTCTCAGGATCTTGGGCACATACGTACATGTGCCCAGCATGAGTTTAATCCACTGGGTCCGGGACTTGAACCGCGGTCAGCTACATGGGAGTTCAGCGACATAGCCATTATAGCTGCTGGTCCCCAAGAGTTTGTTTTGTTTCATAACACAGTAGCCTTAACCATGCTGCTGCTCAGAGACCTCTTATCTAGGGAAGTTTAACATGCTAAACAATGGGCCCAGTATACCAGGGTCTTCTCTGCTTGGACTTAAAGGAAGAACCACCAGCGGGCAATCGAGTCCTTGCAGGCCAGCCTGGAGGCAGAAGCCAAGGGCCGAGCAGAGGCACTGCGGCTCAAGAAGAAAATGGAGACAGACCTGAATGAAATGGAAATCCAGTTGGACCATGCCAACAAGAACAACAGTGAACTTGTGAAGACTCTGAAAAGGCTTCAACAGCAAATTAAGGTAGAGATCTGTGAGGAGGAGGAACTAATCACAAAGCAAGCAATCACTGGCAGAGCCTGTAGGCTTACAGAGAGCTAACTTCATGTTTTAAAAGAAATAATAGGGCAGATGAAGGGAGTCAGGGTTAGCTAGTGAGGTCAAAGGTCATCAGGGAAGGTTTCCTTGACAAGACGTTACTGGGACCATCAGACACTCCACTATTAAGAAAGGTTTGATCTCATACTGACCTGAACCCTCATCCAGCTAGATCTTGACCATACAGTGAACTCCCTGAAATCAGGTCTATGCCTCACTCTCTTTCTCAGTGGCTTCCACCTCCTAACCCTGCCCTATCTTCCTGCTTTAGTCAGAATACTCTCAGGCCCAGCCAGCCCCAGGTCCTACCAGATACCAGGATATGGGCTTAGCCCTGGTCCCTTTGCCTTCCAGGACCTGCAGGTCCAGATGGATGAGGATGCCCGGCAGCACGAGGAGCTACGAGAGCAATACAACCTACAGGAGAGACGCCTGAGCCTGCTGCAGACAGAACTGGAGGAGGTGCGCTCAAGCCTGGAAGGCAGCGAGCGCTCTCGCAAGCTGCTGGAGCAAGAGGTGGTAGAAATCACTGAGAGGCACAACGAGGTCAACATCCAGGTAAGATAGCAGCTCCTGGGTTAATACCACATTGATTCACACAAGGGTAGGTGGGGAGAGTGCTGGAGGGAAGCCAGGACGGAGTCCAAACCACATGACTCCCCTCAAAACTCAGAGGTGGGCAGTATCCTCCACTCAGCAAATTCTCAGAACTCACCTGCAAGCTGAGTAATGGTCAAAAATCCATGACATAAAATATATCCTCTTAACCATTTTTAAGTGTGCATTATGTGCACATTATTGTGCAGAGTTTTTTGTTTGTGTGTTTTTTGCCAGAGGATGCATGTATTCACCAGAGAGACAAAGAGAAAGAGAAAGAGAGAGAGAGAGAAAGCACCCCCCAATGGGGTGTGGTCACACCACAATCCCTTTTCTTCCATTTCTCCATTCTGTAGGGATTTAGGGCATGCACACACACATACCTGGCATGTTTTTCAAGTCCCTGGGTCCAGGATTTAAATTGCATGGTCAGCCATGTGAGATTTGGTTGGCCAGCCTGTGCAAATATTTTTTAAAAGATCCCTAGGCACTCCCTTGGAGATTTCTGACCCCTGAAATCTAACTTTCCAGAAGATCCCCAGATGTTAATGATTTTGTCAATTTTGAAGATGACCGTTACACCTAGTTTAACTGAGGACAGAACTTTGAACTGGGAGGGAGCTAGAATATTCCATAGTCTGACACTCATTTTATTAATGAAAACCTGTGGCCTAGAGAGTTGGTCAACATCAAGGGTCCCCATGTATGGTCAGCAATAACACTAGATGGTTCATGACATGGTCATTTACCAGCATGGCAGAATCCTTACTAATCATATCCTCTGAATTCACCAAAAGAATAAATGTGCTTGAGATATATAGAGATTATGATCCCATTTCAGAGATAAGAAGACCAAAACCCAGAGGTAAGGAATTTATGTATAGAAGTGCTGGGGTTTAAGCCTGGGCATTTGAACCAGCTTGGAATATGGGACTGTTCCATAGTTGCCACCCACCACAGGTCTAGGTTATATTATTCCTGGGATACTCATGATATAAATTCTTCTCTAAAACCTAGAGAAAAATGCAAGGAAGAGATCCTCACTCCATATAGAGGGCCCAGGGCCATTTCCTGTTGGGGGATCTGACAACTATATCTAGAAGAGGGCTATTTTTCTTTCCTGGACACAGGAAGGGTCATGCAAACTCCAGGCTCAAAGCAATGTCTTCATTTCCTTCTCCAGAACCAAAGCCTCCTAGTGGTCAAGCGTAAACTGGAGTCAGATGTCCAGCGCATCTCCAATGAGCATGAGGAGCTTATCAGTGAGTTTCGTTCAGCCGATGAGAGAGCCAAGAAAGCCATGACAGATGTAAGTATACATGCTGCTGGTACACAGGGGCCTCGGTGTCTGCTGAGGACCCAGCTGCCCTCAGCTAGAAGGTCACTGCCTCACATCATGTGTCTATGGACTCACTCATGTTGCCCTGGCAGGGGCATGAAGTCTTGCTCATGAGAAGCCCAAAGCTTTTCTAAAAAGCCAAATACCTCAAAGTAGGGAAGAATTATAAGCGATGCATTATTATGTGAAAGATGAGAATATGAGGCCAGGGAATTCAGATCACAGGAAGCTCATTTGGGCAGGCTCTTTGGCAAGAAAAGGCATTAAACTAGCCTTGAGAGAAGGGCTAGTGAAAGGAGACAGATGCCACACCTGACGAGTCAGAAAAGAATGTCAGCAAGATGTGCCACCAAGTGTTTTCACTCAATATTTCTTTTGGTGCTTGCACCAACCTTGAGTGGTAGGAACTACAGAATGTTGTTGTCAGGCTCCTTCCACTGAACTTAAATACCAGGAGTTCAGGAACATTGTTGATCTTATTTGGCACTACCTCCCAGGAGCATAGACCCAGGGCTGGATGCAGTGGACCCTCCATAAATATTTGGGAAATTAATGCAAGAACAAAGGGCTTGAGAAGGCATAAGCAACTTGCTGAAGGTCACACAGGCTCTGATGCCATCCTAGGGTTTGGGCTTCTAACTCTAGATGCTGAGCTTTTCCAACTCTGTGCTGTGCCCCTCATGGAGACGGTAACAGCAAGGATCTGCCTTGAGTGTCCCCTGCTGGTGGGAGGCCATGGGGTTTGGAGGCCTGGTTATGAGTGTGTAAGCCTGCCTTGCTCTGTCACTCAGGGTTACCGCTCCCTCATTCAGGGTTATTGCTCCCTCACTCAGAGTTACGGATCTCCCACAGGGTGTCAATAAGGCTCCTCTTGTCAAGGATCTCCCACAGGGTGTCAATAAGGGTCCTCTTGTCAATCACTTGATTTCTCTGGGAAACCAGAAACCAAGAGACAGGGTCCCTGGTTGCTCAAAGGTGCTATGAGACTGGGTAGCACCCAACACCAATTCACACTCTTCTCCCCACCTACAGGCTGCCCGCATGGCAGAAGAACTCCGGCAAGAGCAGGACCACTGCATGCACTTGGAGAAAATCAAGAAGAACTATGAAGTCACCATCAAGGACCTGCAGGCCAAGATGGAAGAGGCCGAGCAGCTGGCTCTGAAAGGAGGGAAGCGTACAATCATGAAGCTGGAAACCAGGGTGAGAACAATGCTGAGACAGGAAGGAGGAAAGAAAGGGGGATCTGGATGGGTGGGGTGGTATGTCTTCTGCCAAACATGTGCCTTGTATTTGATGACAAATTGGATTATGCCAGTGCTAGAAAACTAAAGGAAATTGAGACAATAGCTCTTACTTGTCAAAGTTTTCTCCTCCACCTCCTCCTCCCCATCACTTCATTCTCCAGAATGTTCTTAGTCACTAAGAACAGTTCCCAATATCCTTCCCCTATCTCAACATTATTCCTCCCTCTTACTGTTCAAAGAAAAGTAAGTCTTTGTCTTTACTCCCATGAAACATCAGAATTTGAAGGGCCCAGAAGTCAGCTTGTCTAAGGTCCTGACTCCCTCATTTCCCAGAGGAGGAAAACTGAGGCCTATAGGAAAGTGGCAGTCTGATGGCTACATTACCTGTAAAAGGCGGAGCCCCTTACCTCCTCCCTCCCCCACAGATGTCCTGTCCAGGACTCGCCTCTGGGCAGGGAGTAGCCACGATGCCCTCAGCAGAAGCCACTGAATTCAGAAATTATAAAATCTGCATTCCCTCAGTGTCATTCTTCTCTTCCTCCCTCAGATCAAGGAACTTGAGACAGAGCTCGATGGTGAGCAGAAACGTCATGTGGAGACAGTCAAGATATTGCGCAAGAATGAGCGCCGCCTCAAAGAGTTGGTCTTCCAGACAGAGGAGGACCACAAAACTAACCAGCGCATGCAGGAGCTGGTGGAGAAGCTGCAGAACAAGCTTAAAGTTTACAAGCGGCAGATTGAAGAGGCGGTAAGTGGTCTCCCCTCACCTTTCCCAAATGCATGCTTTCCAGGCCAAGTTGCCAGTCTTGATTAGAATTAACCACAGTGTTGGCTCAAAGATGACTCTGCAAACCTCATGTCTATGGCACCTCATCCTTGGTATCATGTGGGAAAGAAGTCAGACATAACACTGAACACTGAGTTCACTAATGTAACTACTGCAAGGTGTGATCTAGCCCCCCTGAGGAGCTCTTGGCTCCTTGAATGGAAGATCCTGCTCCCACTGACCCTCATAGACTCTAGCATGGATGACCTTAACATACTATTAACAAGGACCTTCCTTTCTCTGGTCCTTCTGATGCTGATGCAAGAAAGTTGTTGTTCTTAGTCTATTTCACAGACCCAAAATGGAATATAAGTGTTATGTTAATAAAAGACAGAGGCAACGTCAAATGGCTAGCCATGAGCAATTTTATGTCTCAAGCCTATGCCACATGTCCTTCTCACTGGCCCCTACAGAACATAGACAGTGAATCTGCCATCATTTCCTTCCCATTCTGGGGCTACTCCATTGAATCTATAAGCCACGCATGCACCCAACACTCTTCCCAAAAGATTTGGTAAGGCCAGACTGGTGGTAAATTAGTTCTAACTAAAATGACTACAGCTTTATTGGGAAGACCAACACATGGAAAATGTATGGTATGGGTAGCAAAAGGTATTAAATCATGCTGGCATCAACAGATACTGCCTAAACCCACAAATCATAGCAGTACAACATGAAGCACATTTTATTAGAAACATAGATATCAAAAGAAAGACTCAGTTAAACATGTTGAAGGCAGTCGTCCCTAGTGAGCTGGATGATGCCCCTCCTCATCAGGCCTACTGTTTTGTAACAAGCCTTATAGAATGAGTGGACCCTCAGACATCTATGTAGAATGGATGAAAATGCACTCTCAGTCAGAACAGGCCAGGCTTATAACCCCATCTTCCACCATACCTTCATCACAGGAAGAGCAGGCCAACCAGACCTTGGCTCGATACAGAAAGACAGTGCACGAACTGGATGATGCTGAGGAGCGGGCCGGCATGGCGGAGACTGCCCTGAACAAGCTGCGCACCAGACACCGCGTGGCTGGCAAGGGCATTACTTCTGTGGAGATCATCCAGGTGTCCAAGACGGGCTCCTCCAAAACGCTTTCTGAGGAGTGAGGTCCTCCGTATCCTACGTCACAGCCAGTAGGTGTCAACTCAACTCTCAATACCCACAGTCCCACCCCACCTCCCTTGTACCTGCTTTGCTCTTAGCAGTGGTAGTAGTGCTTCCTATTCTCCCTGGCTTCCAGTCTCTGATACACCCAATCTCATAAAACAGAAACCTCAGAGCTTCCTCTGCCCTTTTAGCTACAACCCTGCCTCCATGGGTTCTTACAGCCTTTGGATGGGGTGCTGTCCACCTATATCACAGGTGTCCCCCATCTGAGCGACAGGCAGTTTCCACGTGTGATGCCACTTGAGACTAGACCTGGAACGTAGGTGCTCAGTGCACACTAGTTTTCACTAAGAACAACAGGACATCTGCGAGCTCACAAGCAATATACATTCATCTCCCCTTTCCTTCAGTATCATTCTTCTTTGGGAATTTCACCAATACTGGTTGAATTTAGGGTTCTAATACAAAGTAAATAATCACCACAGCTACCATCTCCTGATAGCTGAGTACAGGTGAGATTTTGGGGGACAGGGCAACTTAAATTTGTTTTTTCTTATTCACCTTAATTCAGAAACAATCAAGGAAAAAAAATGCAGGAGACAACTATATTAGTCAAAATAGGCCCAGCTATGGTGGTGCATGCTATTAAGCTGCTGTTCTCTGCTAGGTGGTAACACACAGGGGGCCTGGGTCTGATTCCCAGTCCAACCTAAAGGCTGGTTGTGGTGGCCTGTGCGTATAATCCCAGCAATTCAAAATGCTAAGGCTGGAGGATTGTAAGTTAGAGGTTGGCTTGGATAACATAACGATATGCTGTCAAGAAGAAAGAAAGAAAGAAAGAAAGAAAGAAAGAAAGAAAGAAAGCCAGCCAGCCAGCCAGCCAGCCATATGTAGTGCTGTACACCTGTAGTCTGAGTTGGGAGACTAAGGCAGGAAGATAGTAATGGTAAGACCTTATCCAATAATAATAATAATTATTATTCCAATTTTATTGTGCTATATCCTAGACTGAGAATGTGGCTTTAATGTGTGTCCAGCATGAGCATCCTCAGACTTCACTTCAGAATTAAAGGTACCTGCAGAAATGGCATGGTACCTGGTATGGCAGGCCAGCTCCCTGGGAGTAGCCTCTACTCTAAGGAATAAAACCACCAGAATCCATCATCCCTGTAGGTAGATCCAAAAGAACAGAAAAAATGGGGCTCAGCCCTGCCTTCCTGGTTCCTTTTTCTTCTATTTTTTAGACAAATTTTTGCTGGAACCAGCAGTGGTTGTAAGGGCTATGTCTCTGGGCTCCCATGTAGTTGACCACAGTTCAAGTCCCGGATAAGATGACTTAAACTCATGCCAAGCACGTTTATGTGCATGTCCAAGATCCTGAGAGGAGAATGGAGGAGAAGGGATTGTGGTATGGCCATCCCCCCTGGGGAAGTGAGTTCTTGCTTTCTGTCTCTCTGTCTCTCTGTCTTTCCAACGAGCGCATGAGCCCTATAGCAAAGAAGGAGAAATTTTTGCTATACGGTGTGTGCACTTGTCAAAGACACAGAGACACAGAGACAGAAAGTGAGAAATCACACACACACACCCCAGGGGGGATGGCCACGCCGCAATCCCTTCTCCTCCATTCTCCTCTCGGGACCTTGGGCACACACACACATGTGCCCGGCGTGAGTTTTAAGCTGCCAGGTCTGGGACTCGAATCGCAGTCAATTATGTCGGAGTCCAGCGATGTAATCATTACACTATCTGCTGGTCCTCCTGGTTCTTTTTTCTAAACACAGGTTAAAACATTCCTCTTCCCATGGAAAAAGCAAGGGAAAGGAGAAGAGAAGAAGCAAAGATTTATTCTACAGTAGTGGTTCCCAAAATGTAGTCCCCTGGACCAGCAACAACACATTACCTGGGAAAATGAAAAAGTGTGTTCTTTTTTTGTTTGGTTGTTTTTAAGTTTATTAATTTATTCCATGAGTAATAAAGTCAGAAACAGAGAGACAGAAATATAGCTCCCCTGATAGGGTCTTCACAGCAAGACCTACCCCCAGTCTTAGCCAATCCAGATCATGGGGAGATGCTTTGCGTATTCAGGGAGGCCTCTGGATGCAAACCAGCAACCTTCCCAGGTGGGTCTGCCTCACAGAGGCATCGCCACTGGGATACCAATGGCCCCATACAAATGCCTACTTTTAGGTCTTGCTTCAAACCTACTGAATCAGCAGCTCTGGGAGTAGGTCTAGCATCTGTCATTTAACAAGCCCTCCAGGTGACTCGACTATGTGGTCCAGCCTGAGAACAGAAATCTGCCCTAGAGAAACACAGAGCCAGGGAACAAAGGTTTTTCTTACTTTTATAAGAGCCAGGCACATGGCAAATGCTTTCTGCTACAGTATTTATCCTATTAGGTAAGTATAAATATCCCCATTTGCCAGGTGAGAAAAATGAGCTCAGAGAAGTATGTTAAATACCCATACTCATACAAATCCTATACTATGATAGGTAAGTTGTCTTTTACTTAAATTACTATAGAAATTGCTAAGGTTCCCCTCTATTGGCATTAACCAGGACAGCTCAAAATCAAGGACTTGGTTCAGATTGGAGATAGGAAGCTAAAGCCTAAGCATCAAACTCTGTGGATTCTGGGAATTCTTTTTGACCTCATATTCAAACATCTGGTTGAATCAGCTCTTGGTGAGGGTGAGTCCCTGTTCCATTTATAGCTATCTCAGGAATGGTGGTCAGTTTGGATTTTAGGGAAAAGTGGTAACCTTGTTGATCTCTGAATTCAAGCTGAGCTTTATCATTTGCTTAGGGAGGAAACAAAAAAATGGGACCACAATCTTTTTCTTCACTCTCTAAATCTGAAATAATGGTTAGCTCAGGAAGTTAAGGAAATCAGAGGGTTGCCTCTGGGTAAGTGCTACAGTTAATGTGTAACTAACCATTCCCTTTCAAGGTGAGAACCTGAATGGGATCCCTCCCGCTGAGCTTTCACCTAAGCAGCTTGGGTTTCCTGATACCCCAGACCTAAGAGGTGTTTCAACTCCTTCTACCTGCAAAGTTTTAGCCTCCAGTATTAGACACCTTTTGGAGCAAATTCCTGCCCTGGTTTGGCTTGGTTACCGTCTACTCATGAATAAGAAAAACAGAGACAGAGATAGCTGGCCCTGATCTAATCTTTGTTACAGCTAAGCTGTTTCCATGTCACTAAGCCACAGTCCTGCTACCAGCATCCAGAGGTGGTAAGGGTGAGCTCTTGGGGTCTGCCCTCTGTGTCCTCACCCATTTTCCCTCTTTACTCATTTCTGTTTGTTGGTCACAGGGCTGGATATGCCATCATTGACCATTGGATGCCAAGTAGTACATGAACTGACACTGCTCCAGGATCCTGCCTTTATGTTCCTAAGCCAAAACCAGTTTAGTTTTCCAAAGTGGTATTCAAACTGGTCTCTGAATGTGGGCTAGGCCTGGACCCTAGGATACAGAGGAAATCTGGTGGAGAGGAAGATGTACACATCAATCAACAAGGCTGTGGGCCAATGTTTTTTGATGTACCATTTACACTTCATGGGAAGGCAGCACGGAGGTGGAGCAGTTGGTTCAGTCCAGGGTACCTGCATAGAGTACCTCCATGGAGGACATGCCCTGTATAAGAATCTAGAACAGAGCTGCTTGATGGGTGCCCCCCATTTATTACTGCCCCTGACTATACATGTGCAGGAACTGAGAAGTTTTTAGAAAGTTTTATAATAATTACTACTACAACATCCAATGTATGATCAGTGTAGTTTACATATTTGTGTCTGATAGTAATTAAAATCTAAAAAACAATAAAATATTTTAACAGAAATTTAGAAGAGTAAATAAATTGATCTTTCACCAGGCAGAGAAGGAATGAAAAGGGTGGAAATAAGAATTCCAGACAGAAGGCCCATGACATGCAAAAGTATAGAGGTGGGACTGCACAAGGCACAGGAAGATTGGAGCAGAGGGGCTCAGGATGAGGCAAGAGAACTAGAGAGTGGTGGGAGATGGAGCTAGCAGGGCAGGCAAGGTGAGGCTACGAAGGATCCTGCTGGGTGCAAGTATGCCATAAACTCTGTAAGAAAATCTTACTTATTTTTAAAAACCTGTGTGTGGGCTGTGATGAGCAGTAGCTTTTATTTTTAGGGAAGACACATCACAATAGCAAAGCAAGCCTCTTGGTCCCTCGCAAGATAACACCGGCAGTTCATGGGGATGAGTGTATCCCAAGGCATTGCACTCTAGCCCTCTCAATGGCCTATGTGGAACTCAGGCCTACTTGACCACACCAAGCCCAAACAAAGGGTCTGTAAACCCTCATAACTTCATGAAGAAGAAGCTCATGTGACCCAATGATATCCATTAGGAAGAAGGAAGACTGATGAAGCATCCCAGGCACCATAGGAAGCTGCCTTTCTAGCAAGAAAAGAGCAAAGATATCAGTACTCTTAGCTCTGACCCACATTGACTTTCTTACCTTCTCTTGTTCTCTCTCCTTTAGGGTGATACAGATCTCAACAGCAGTCCATTGAGAGGAAGGAAATATGAAAATGAAAAATATGCTCTATCCTTAGAATGTTTACTATGCAAAGGAAGTGCAAGCCAGAAAGAGACAGGTGCTGAAGAACAAAGATAGCCTTGAGTGGAAAAGAGTTTGGGTTATCCTCAGCTCATTAAAAATGTTAGAGGGATCAAAATTAGTGTGGCTTTTCTTAGACTGCATTAAGCATTTGGATGACAGTAACAATGGGTCTGTTTTAGCTGAGATCCTACATGTTCATGTCAAGGACGGAATATGTAATATCTGTAACCAGGCTGTTCTCTAGAAAGAATTCCTCATGTCAACAATTTCAACGCCTTGTCCCAATGTACTTTAAATAAAGGAAACATGGGAAAATGGACTAATTGGAGCTTGTTTTTATTTTAGAAAGAGAGGGGGAGAAAGTAAAAAAATCACCTCTTAGGGGTTTGGGCAAGCTTCAATCCCTTTTTCATTCTCCTCTTGGGACTTTGGGCAGGCACATACATAAGCTGGCTGTGATTTTCAAGCCACCAGTTTCAGAATTTGAACTACAGAGTTGGCCATGTGAGATCCAGCCACCTTAACCTCCACACCACCTGTTGGCCCTGAAGCTTGTTTTAAAATAATTTTATTTTTCTAAGACTTCCAAATCCAAAGGCAATATCCACAATTGTCATATATCAGAATTCTGGTGTATTCTTATATCCTAATTCACAGACTTATTTCTATTAGAAATCATTAAAACTATGCAGCTTTGGTGAAGTTTTTCCAGATTTTTATAGGGCATATTAGAGAAATAGATAAACTAGCTTCTTAAGGCCAGGAAAGTTACAGAATCCCCTGAGTAGATGTTAACATCCACACAGGCTAATGTCCCACCAGGCCCCTGCTTATTTTATCTTAATGTCTCCCAAGACATTCAGACATGGGCAGGTCAGTTCCATGACAGCAGGCAGTTTGGTGTGTTTTGTTCACTGCTGTATCCTTAGCATTGGCCTAAAGGATAAGCATAGACATTTCATAAATATTTGCAAACAAATGGTGGAAAATGGGAAGCTTCTGAAAGTAGTCCTTCCTGACACTGCCAGAGAGATCTTCTTTAAATTGAGACCTACACCACAGTGTCCATATGCTCACCTGGTTTTGAGACCCAGGGCCTATAGAACAACCTTAACTGAAGACAGTTCTCATAGTCCTTCCAAGTTTTCCCTTTTCTAGTGCTAAATATCCCTGGATCCTTCAATCTTCCCTAATATAACAGAGTTTGCACTGTCACCTTCTAATCTCCTTAAGCCTGTTTCCTTCCTCCCTTTCCTAGTCCTCTAAGTACCTTAGTAGAGCAGAGCTGTGAAAGTGTGTTCCCTGCCAGTTGACTCTGGCTCTCTGGAAATGATGTGTCTTCCCTTTGACTTGCAGCACTCTGATCTCACTTCAATCCACTGGTAGAAGTCATTGCTCAGGGTGCTGCAGGGAAGAATACTGTTTCTTTGGTGAGTCCCTTTCCATCTACACACAGGGCCACATCACCATTGTGATGGTTCTAAGCTCTGAGCTCTCTAGACAGCTCTAGAGGAAACTGGTTCCTGCCTCCTAACTGGACCAAATGTGAAAACACTGCCCTCTGGTGGTAGGGTCTCAAACTAATTTGTGTGTGAATTTCCTGATTCCAAATCACAGAATCTCAAAATTATATTAGAATTTTAGTGCTAGAAGGAACATTTAGAGGGCATCTAGTCCAACTCCTAGAAAATGGAGGATTCCATTTTATAACATGTTTGAAAAGATAGTAATCCAACTTCTACTTGAACCTTGAAAAAAAGGCAGCCTATTCCAGTTTTAATTAACAATCATGGTCACAAAGTCCCATCGAATTTTGAACCAGAATATGTGTCACTGTATTTTACCCTTATTTTGTTCTATTCTCCACCTCTATAATTACATTAGTCTAATCAGTACATTCTGAAATCAGAAAGATATGGATTCTACTTTCCCAGCAGTGTAACCTTGAGCAACTTAACCTACCAAGTGTTCTGTTTTCTCAACTGTTAGATGAGAAATAACAGCAGCATCTACCTCATAGGAATTTGAAGTTTAAATAGGATAACTTGGCACAGAGCCCATTATGCATGGCAATTAGACATCTGCCGTATTTCTCTCAACAAGTGGGACTTCAACACTTAGCCTCTGAAAGGAGGCTTGGTCAGGCTGCCAATCTAATTGATGACAACAGCAGGCCTCTTGCTGGAGACGTGGAGGGGCCTTCTCTGAGGTTTTAAGACCCCATCACTGTTTCCTGGAAACAGTCCACTGTGTGCTCCCCATTTCCAGGGCATTAAAGAGTAGCCCCTTGTTTTGCAGGTGGGTCAGGGTCCAGCTTTAGATAGAGGCTCAGTGACCTGCTCAATATCATAAGCAGCAGCGCCAGAAATTCCTTATAGTATGAAATGATGTAAAATGTCTGACTAAGTATGTATAAGAAAATTAACTCCGTGAAGTATGCCCTGTTTGCCTAAGGACATGTAATTTCAGAATGACTTGAAGGCCTTTAGGAAAATCATCTTTAGCCTTGCAAAATTATAACATTAATGATATCCACAATGATCAAAATCAATGCACTAATACCATGTTCCAGAGAGTAAATGGACCAAAGACTGACTGGCTTTGCTAAAAGTCTTGAACTTTCCCTAAATGCCTTTTACCTTTCACGGCTGCTAAATTTGCATCACCAATTATCTACCTCCTCCTTTCACCTGTAAATCAGTTCTGGGTCCTCACAGAGAACCTAGCATGTTTTGGGTCTTTCCATGGAACACAACTGGGTGTTTCCAGGAATCAGTATATCACAAACAATACCCACAAACTACAAAGAAGCAAAGTTGGACATTTATTGCAAAAAGATTAATCTTGACTTATGGCTGAATCAAAGACTGCAAGAGAACCTGGTAGCTATTATATGGGACGATTCTTTCTACTTCTTCCTAAATCCTGACTTAAGCTAATTTTTAAAAAAAATGTGTTCTGCAGCTTTGCAGCAATATTTTCATAATTTTTTCCTCTATAGGGCCAGCCTAGTAGCATGGTAATTAAGGCTGCTAGATCCCACATGGCCAACTGTGTGATTTGAGTCCTGGACCTAATCATTGGAAAAAAAAAAAAAAAAAACTGAGTGCATGTGTGTGAGTGCCCAAATTCCTGAGAAGAGAATGAGGCAGAAGACACTGAGGCAGTCATCCCTCCTAGGGAATGTTTTCTTGCCTTCTCTCTCTCTCCCTCTTTGTCTCTCTCCAGCATGGGCCAGTGCCCTATAGCAAAACAAAACACCTTTCCTCTACAGATGTTTTTTAAACTAGCTTCTAAATATGGGCAGCAAGAAAGTAACCAGCCCAAGAGAACTATATTGTGAGAAATAGGTTTGGTGATTAGAAAGGCTACTGTGGGAATAGGTACAGGATGCTACAAGAGACACACCCAGCCCAGTCTTAGAAGGTAAGAGATGATGTCTGGAGGAAATCACGTCTCCACTGAAGCCTAAGGATAAGTAGAAGTTAGCCATAAAGAAGAGAGAAATATGTGGGAATGGAAAGTGGCAGTGTAGGAGAAAGTAGATAATATATACTGGCTAAGAATACACTTGGCTGCAGGTAGCAGCACACTGAGTATAAGCAACATTTAATGATCTTCCTCACTACCCTCTGCAGTAGCAGACAGTTTCAGAATTAGCGCAGTGTAAAAGACCCAGGTTTCCACCTTTCTATGTTATTTTGTCCTTGAACCTGTCAACACAGTTGCCAATAGCATTAAGCATCTTATCTTCCCACAAGCATGTTTAAGACCATAAAAAGATACAGGTATTCTAACTAACCTTTTAACCAAGGAGCACATTTTTCCAGAAGCTCTAGGAGACTTACTTTTGAATGCTGAATAGCAGAAATGGGATCACATGCCCATCCCCAAACTAAGGCGATTCCAACATTAGACATGGACCAATTTTGGTTCATTCCCTGGGCTACAACCTCTTGTAGAGCCACCTGAACAAAAGAGCCACCTGAACAAAAGTAGCAAAACAAGGGGGAAAGGTATTCAGTGATAGCCAGAGAATCTGCCACATGCGGGATGTGGTTGGTGAGAAAAGAAGGTGATACAACTCGATGACTTGTTATTTTGAGGGTTTCCTCACTGATTTAGATTACATGCTTTTGTAGGTATATAACATAAGCAAAATGGTATCTCACCCACTGCCTGGATTTGTGATTAGCATCTGAAGTGGGTTTAGGGCAATCTTGTGGGACTGAGCCTTAACCTATGGGGTACACACTAACTCTAAGTAGTTAGTGTCAGAATTTAATTGATTTCAAGACCAGCAGGTGGCGTGGTGGTTAAGGTGCTGGGTGCTCCCATATGGCTGACCACGGTTTGAGTCCTGGACTTTGCTCTCTCTCTCGCTCTCTCTCTCTCTCTCTCTCTCTCTCTCTCTCTGTGTGTGTGTGTGTGTGTGTGTGTATCTCTCTAGTTAAATTAAAATGAATGAATGAATAAGTAAAGTTAAATAAATAATTTTTTAAAAAATTTAATTGATTTCAGGACACTAAGTTGGTATCCAGAAAGTTGGAGGAGAATTGGTTGGTGAGAGGAGGAAAAAGTCCATTTATTGGGTGTCAGTCATGTGTGTAGAGCAACAGTTTTTCTTTTACCATTATACCCTCTGCTTTGGGTTCAGACCATAGGAGTAAGGGTAAATTAAAAGGTAAATATTGTTCTCAAAATCCAGATCTCAATTTTGAGTCATATAGATGACCCAGAAAATCTCGTAACCCTAAAATTAAAGAGATCCCAAATTACCAACATTCTCAGGCAACTGGAAAAAATAAAATAAAATGCAAAAAATTAAAACTTATGTATTTAATTTTATTTATTATTATTATTTTAATTTGCTATAGAGCACATGCACACATGCACTCATCAGAGAGAGACAGAAAGAGACAAGCCACTGCATCCGAGATTGGAACTGCTGTCAGTCATGTGGAGTCCAGTGCCCTTAACCACCATGCCACTTGCTGTAAAATAAAATTTTTATTTGGAAAGAGATTAAATCATTTTAGGCCTCAAATCATTGCTATGTAATTTTTAAAATTAAATGTTGGACACAATATTTATAACCAAGCCTATGAGAAGACAGAACAGAAAATGAGAATCAGTTGAAACAACGTGTTGATTATGAAAACAATCCCAAGGAACTTCAGAAAATGGCAAATGTATGCATTTACTATAGAATTAAAATACATGAGGAAAATAGCATATAACTGAAGAGCCAAATAACAATGGAGTTAC